ATGTATGGTAAAGTAAACGGATATCTTTCCTCTACGTATCCACTTGATAATGGTATCCCACAGGGATCACCATTATCTGCTTGCCTATTGATAATAGCATTCGATAAAATCACTCCACTCACAAAAAAGGAACAGTCCGGCACCTTCGCCTTGGTCTCCAGGCTGTATCGGAGATACAGCCGCTAAATTTAAACGTAGAATACGTGGTACGGTTAAGAGCATATCCGTCAAAAACGAAAACACACACGATGAAAAAATATCGATAACAGAAGCGATAATAATATCGATAGCAAGATCGATAAAAATATCGATAAAAAAATCGATGAAAATATCGATATCAAAATCGATAATATCGACAGCAAAATCGATGGCCAAATCGATAAAACATCGCTAGAAATATCGATAACTAAATCGATTACAAAATCTATCAAAAATCTATAACAAAATCGATAACAGAGACGATAACAAAATTGACAAAAATATCGATAACAAAAGCGATAACAATATCGATAGCAAAATCAATAAAAATATCGATAACAAAACCGATAAAAATATCGAAAACAAAAGCGATAACAATATCGATAAAAATATCGGTAACAAAACCGATAAAAATATCGATGACAAAATCGATAAAAATATCTACAACAAAATCGACGAATATATCGATAACAACATCGATAGCAAAATCAATAATAATATCGACAAAAATATCGTAAACAAAACCGACACAGTACCGATTATTATATCGATAAGTCCCGAGAATCCCGAAAATCTCTAAAATCCCGAAATAGTTCCCGGGTTGAGTCTCTGTGCCTCTATCTATATCTTTTTCTCTACAACTGCCTTTATTTTAATCTTTCTTCCTCTATCTTCATCTCTACTTTTATCGGTATCCTCATCCTCATATTTTTCTCTATATTTATATATGTTTGTTGAATAAAAGACTCGACGTAATTACCAAACACGTTTATTCAATGCAGCGATCAAAAAAGGAGAGAAACTTCAATACAAGAGTAGTACAATAGTTAGCAAAAATGAATTAAATGAGAACGATTATGAATTAGTGAAACACTTGCATAGGGTGCATAGCTTGAATTGAAATGAACAAAATAAATATTAGACATACTGCCCGGTCGGAGCATCTGCTTCGATATCATCAGGTTGGAAAAGCAAGCATAGTTTCTGCACTGCCCTGGTGCACAATCCATATGCGGTCATTAGGGTCGCGTTGCGCGCCAGTCCATCACTGCCTAGGTGAACTTCTGTGATGCGACCAAGTCGCCAGTGTGTTGGAGGTAGGTTCTCGTGTCTAACCAATACGATATCACCAACCTGGATGTTCTCGACACGTTGCCGCCATTTACTCCGCGATTGTAGAGTTGACAGATACTCTTCGCTCCACCGGTGCCAGAATTGTTGATGGAGGCAGCGTAACAACTGCCAATGCTTTAGATGATTAACTGGAATTTCCGCAACCTCAGGTTCAGGCACTGCGATGAGTGGAGCGCCAATGAGAAAGTCTCCAGGCGTTAATGCGTATTTGTCCTCAGGGTCATCACTCAGCGGAATAAGTGGGCGTGAATTCAGACAGGCTTCAATGCGGGCCGCCAGTGTATGCAGCTTGGAATACCACATTGCCTGGTTACCTACGACACGTACCAAATGTCGCTTCGCTGACTTCACCGCCGCCTCCCACAGTCCACCTTGATGGGGAGCGCTAGGCGTAATAAAGTGCCAATGAGTCCCAAGATTAGCAAGGTATTGTTGATTCTGGCTGCTGTGCCAGGTGGCTAAATCTTCCTGCATTAGCCGATTAGCACCGACGAACGTCGTGGCATTATCGCTGTATAGGTCTCGGCACTGGCCGCGTCTGCTAACAAAACGCGTGAAAGCATCAATAAAGGCCATGGATGACAAGTCATCCACCAACTCGATATGCACAGCTTTGGTTGCCATACAGACGAAAATTGCCAGATAGGTCTTCACGGTAGTCCGACTTCGTTTGGTGCCAATGCGTATCGTGAAAGGCCCACAGTAGTCCACGCCTGACGCCAGGAATGGTCGTGCTACGTTGACTCGTTGTCGTGGTAATGAGGCCATCTGTTGCGTAATAGTAGCTCCACGGTGTCTTCTGCAAATCACGCACTTATGGATGACGCTGCGTACCGCTTGCCTGCCATTGATAATCCAAAATCGGTACCGCAGAGTCTGTAGCATTAATTGTGTACCACCGTGAAGTGTGTCGATGTGAACTTGGAGTATGAGCAGCCTAACTAAATCGCTGACCTTCGGAAGTATAGTTGGGTGGCGATGTTCTTCTAGCAACGCGGAGTTAGTAATGCGTCCACCTACCCTTATGATGCCATGGTCATCCAAGTATGGGTTAAATGGGAGCAGTGGGCTTGAATTTGGTAAAGTTGTTCCTTCTCGCAAATAATGTAAGTCTCGAGGAAACGCGGACGCTTGATCAATACGAATGAGCAATTCAAGCGCGCCATCCATCTCTTCCGTTGTCACAATACTCTGCCGGAGAAGGCGTTGCCTTGGTAACCAGCGGAGGATTATAGCTGTAGTTCGGAGGAGTCGTTTTATGGAACTATACCGTTGTGTTAATGGAATCTGGCGCCCATCAATGAGTCGTGTGGTAAGCTGATATTGAATAGAGGACACGAACGTAAGAACTCTGACCTTTTCCTCACTGTTCGCAGCAACGCGTTCATCAGCCTGTAACTCGGGCGCCGAATCAAAGGGGTTACACCACGGCTGGCGCAATCCGCTGGATTCTGGGCCGAACGTACATAGTGCCAGCAATCAGTAGAAGTCAGTTGTTGTATTTGGCGGACCCTGTTGGCGACATATGGTTTCAACAAAATTGGCTGTTTGCGTAGCCAAGACAGGACTACACTGGAGTCCGACAACAAATACACAGAAGCCTCCTCCAAACTTAGTGCCCTGCGAACCGTGCCAATCGTTTTAGCCAACAGCAGTGCTCCACTCAGTTCCAGTCTAGGGATCGTGGTGCCTTTAAGCGGCGCAACCTTTGTACGAGCGGTGAGCAGCGATACCAGCACACTTCCATCAGTGTCAATCGTATGTGCGTAAACCACCGCAGCGTATGCCTTCTGACTGGCGTCACAAAATCCATAAAGAGTAGTCCGATTAGTTGTACTCATACCCAGCCATCGAGGTACTCGAACTTTATTGAGGGTAACCAAATCACCGCGGAATTTCGACCAAATTCGGCACAGATCTTGAGGTAGTGGAGTATCCCAACATACACCCGAGGCCCAAAGACTCTGTATAAATACCTTGCCTGATATAACGACCGGCGCCAAAAATCCAGTGGGATCATACAGCTGGGCTACTTCACTAAGAACTCGCCGCTTCGTCAGGAGTCCATCATAGTGGTTCAGAGATACCTTGAACAACAGCTCGTCCCTTGCGGGGTCCCAGCGCAGGCCTAGCACTGTAGCTATGGGGGCGTCAATGTTGCGTTCAGCTACTGAGGAGGATTCACCAATTTGTTCGAGTACGGCAGCTCTATTCGAGTTCCACTTTCGAAGCGTGAAACAGCCTGCCGATAAAATCGTCGACACGTTATTCGCCAACGTAACCGCCTCGCTAACCGCAGTACAGCTTGTGTGAAAGTCATCGACGTAAAATGAGGAAAGAATGGCACTGCGCGCCGAATCGGCCTGATTAGGATCGCTCACCAAGCTATAGTTGTCGACTGCGCACTGACGCAATGATCGCACCGCATTATATGGGCTGCACGCCATGCCATATGTTACCGTTTTCAGCTGATATATGGTAACTTCCTCGATGGGTGAGTCGCGCCATAAGATCCGTTGAAGATCTCTATCTTCCGGTGCCACTAACACCTGGCGAAACATCTTTTCAACGTCAGCCGTGAGAGCAATTGCGTAACGTCGAAATCGGAAAATAATATCCATCAGCGAGTCTTGAATAGTTGGACCCACCAGCTGTACATCGTTAAGCGAAACACCGGTTGACGTTGGCGCTGAGGCATTAAAAACGACGCGGAACTTCTCCATCACGGCGTGATGCGGGATGTAATATGTACGAGGAGAATCATTGGCGATACCTAAGGCTCCTATATGCCCTAAGTCGATGTATTCCCTCATAAACTCCACATATTGGGTCCGCATTTGTATATCGGAGGCAAGGCGGCGCTCCAAGCGATAAAATTGTTGTAAAGTACTGTAGTAAGAGTCGCCTAGTGGTGGAGCATTAGATCGTATTGGTAAGCGCACCATGTAACGCCCTTCTGGGGTTCGTGAGCGAGTCATTGAAAATAGGTGCTCACATTCGTCATCAGCCATACGGTCGACATCAGGCCCCCCGTCGAGCTCCCAAAAGCGGCTGACAATCTCGTCCAACCGAGACTCTTTCAAAATATGGGCACCATACGAGCGTAAGCATGGACCGCTGGTCGAATTCGCGGAGGCTGGCCCGAAAATGACCCAACCCAGACGCGTAAGTTGAGCATGTGGCTCATTGTGACCACCTCTGATAGTGTCTCCTTCCAAAATGAGACCCCAAACGTCAGCTCCTAATAGAAGGTCAATTCTTCCCGGAGTACCAAACTGTGGGTCTGCCATTTGCAGACCAACCAAGTGTCCATACTGATTCCCATCAATCTGCGCTGTTAGCAGCACTGAAGTAATTGATGTGATGACCAACGTTTGAACTGCCAAAGAAAATTCTGAGTGGGTTGATTTGAGCGTTATTGCCACAGCGCCCTTTGTACGTGTACAGGATAATGCACCAATGCCCTCGACCGCGACCTCATAACTGCTTCTGCGAAGACTCAGAGCATTAGCAAAACGCTCAGTAATAAAACTTACTTGTGATCCAGGGTCGCACAAAATCCTTGCCAGTCGTTCCTCCGAATTGTCACCAGAAACATATGCGCATGCTGTTGCGAGAAGTATTGTCTGATCACCCTGAGCATGGCATCCAATCACAGAGTCAGATAGTCATAACGAAGGTTGAGCCGGTGCTACTAGTACACCCGGCTGCGATGAGGTGGTGGTAGTAGCCGCTACCATCCTTGATGAAGGCGCGGCAGGCTTTGGTTCGCGACAGAATATGGTGTTGTGTTTGCGGCCGCATTGGCGACATCCTCCAGAGGAGCACTGCTTAGATGCATGCCCCAACCTCAAACAATTAAAGCATAGGCTCGACTTCCTAAGGGCCTCAAAACGCTTCTCCGGTGGTAAATCCAGTAGAGTTGGGCAGCGCATGACCCTATGTGCCCCTCGACAATACTGACACTTCCCTTCCTCTGTTGAAAGGTTGCATTTCACAGTGCGCGCGGTTGGTGACCGCTGTAGCTGACGACCGGACACTGTGTCTGTACCATCGCCGATCCGAACAAGCTCGGTCGACAGACTCTGTGCTCTTTGCTCCAAGAATTCCATTAGATCCGATAAACTAGACAATTCCGTTGGGGAACAGTGCATGCACCACTCGCGCTTTGTTAACGGAGGTAGCTTTGATACCACAATAGGTACCGTAAGTGCATCCCACTGTTGAAATGGCAACTTCATAACGGCTAACGCGCGCAAAGAACCGCTAGCCACATCCACTATATTCAGCAAAGACTTTGCCGATTCATCTGCTGCCAATGAAAGGTGAAGGAAACGCGCCACATGAATTTCTGCCAACTGCTTGGGGTTGTCATACCGCTTCTTCAAAGCTGCCCACAGTTCCTCGTAACCGCCAGAGTAGAGACCACCAACTAACGGCACCGCTGAGGATGGAACAGCTTGCCGCAATTTACCGAGCTTGTATGCGATGGGTAAATCTCGGTTGTGCACTAAAGTCTCGAACGCATCCTTAAATGCCAACCAATTATGTAATGCGCCGTCAAAGGTCGGAATATTTAATCGCTCCAGCTTTAATTCCATCATTGAATCGACATCGGGTTTGCTGGGAACCTCGGACGAATCACCAGCAGTCACACCCCAACGCATAAGACTGGCACATAATTCGTTGTACATGTCCTCCGTCGAATCCCACCATGCGGCATGCACATCCCACTCCTCTTCCTTGGCGGCGCTAAGGAGCGCTTCGTGGTTTGCAAGCATGCGCTCGTAATGGGAGTTCGCGGACTTCAGCAGCTGCTCAGCCTTAGATGCATCTAATTCGCCGGTGCGCGCTTTCCGCACTTGCTCCAGTGCACGGGCAATAGCCGATGCATGAAACTTACGCAGATTTATTTCTGCCATTTACATATATATTTACGTACCAGCGTAGAATACAATGTGTGGTTATGGCAGTACACGTATCTTGCGCGATCCGAATTAAATCCAATGATATCGCAGCAATCGTTTGACATTACGTAAAAATTATAAATTCGCGAAATTAAGCAACTTAAACTATTAATTTTCGCACGGTTCTTAGACCTCACAGGAGGCAACAAAAATTATGTTGAATAAAAGACTCGACGTAATTACCAAACACGTTTATTCAATGCAGCGATCAAAAAAGGAGAGAGACTTCAATACAAGAGTAGTACAATAGTTAGCAAAAATGAACTAAATGAGAACGATTATGAATTAGTGAAACACTTGCACAGGGTGCATAGCTTGAATTGAAATGAACAATATAAATATTAGACAATGTTTTTATTTTTATGTTTATCATTTTATTCATCTACATATTCCCTTATATAAGTAAAGTGTTTAAATTAACCTTGGTCTTCAATGTTACCTTTGTCTTTACGCAACTTAGTTTTTGTTTTTAATTTTAACTTTGCCTTTATCCTTTTCTTTATCTATGTGCATACTCACCTTTACTTTTATTCTTGGATTGGTCTTTTTCTAAGTGTTGTTTCACTTCAAAAAGTTTTCGCGTATTATGCATACATGTGTTCATACCAGGGTTGTTGCGAATATTCGCATTAATTTTAATATTCGCATTCGCTTTCGCATTCGCAATAATCAATGCGGATCATTTGCGAATGCGAATATTGAAGGGACCGAAAATAACAGTTTTTTTTTTTACCAGTTAAACTTGGCCAAATATTTTTTATTCCCAATTAAGTCTTTTCCGGATAATAAACAAACCGCTTCACAGTGCTGTGTCTCCATATAAAAAGTGGGCAAAAATAGAATGGACGGATTGGAGTAAAAATTCGTTTCTTGGTGGATTAGAGTACGGAGATTTCAAAAATCAATTTTTTTTTACCTAGCTCTTACATTTTTCATGGAAACTGAGATTGAAACTGCAAAATTTGATATTCAGAAGTAGTTCCAATACTGAGTAGTTATTTTATTATTTATACAGGGCGTTTTCCTAATAATATTAAAGACTTCAAGGCTTCATTCTATGGCTTAATTCATGGCAAATAAGATTCCCTATATCTCTCTTACGCAAACCCTCTAGGAATGGCAGCTACTTTCATTTTGGTCCTTTTTGACTACAAAATGTTTTTTTAAATTGATTATATTTTTTGGTGTGGATGTCACACGCTTAAAAAATTTGATTCATTCAAGACGACATTAAATACTCAAAAGACAAATATAATTTTGTTTTCCTTTTTATTAGTTACTTCGCACGAACAAGAGTTGTTGCAAAATACTGAATCAAAACTTATTTGTTTTATCTAACGCCGTTTATTGTTGGATGACAAATCAATTAACCTGGAAAAAATATTTATTTTTTAATAACTTATATGGCTTGTCGAAAAGATATAAGACCGTCATATCGCAAAATAGCTAAACGAGTAAATTAATTAATTCAGACCAGCCTTTTGCAAAATAATACTGTAAAAAGTTGTCAATGTAAATTAAAATGCCATTTACTGATCTAAACTCGAATTTATTTTTAAAGGCTATTGAATGTTTTTGGAAGACATATTAGATAATTTTTTGTTACCTCAGAGGGACTAGCGCAATGATGAACTTAAACTCATCCGTTAATTTGTCGTCACCAAAATTTTGCTTATAGCGGCTATGCCCCGAACTTCCATCCATGCCCCACTTACAAACCAAACAAGCTTTGGTTATGTCACCATTATCTGGGCTTAGTTCTAAAATACTTTGCGTTGTTTTCAGCAATAATGATTTCAGATAAACTTCGGCTGAATATTCAGTCGATTTAATCGTTGGCAGCAAAGTTTGTTTTTTTGTTTGCAATGCGTTTAAGCTCGGTATACAATCTTTATGCAACCGGTTTATTTTTGCACGTAAACTATTATATTTACGATCTGATAAGTTCAGATCTATGTATAGTGCGAGTGAATCAGATATGGGCAAACCTTCGGTACTACTTTCAAAACATTCAACTTTGCTTGCTTTTTTCATTTTTTTCAGAGCATACTCGAGCTCTTCGATGGAATAGTTTTTCAACAAATGCTCTACCCTTCGATTTTTTGTTCTCCGTGAAGCTTCGCAAAATTCTTCTTTAGAAGGTCTTCCCCGTTCAGCACATTTATCCTTATTTCCATTGGAATCCGGAAGGGAAAGGAATGTCCAATTTAGCCATTTAGAATATGTTTTTTCAAAAGCGCTTCTTTTGCGGCCACTATAATTCCACTTATTTTTCATCTCACTATTAAAAAGTTTTATTTTTTGATTCAAAAGTGCTTTGTCGCATTTAGCGTGTATTAATTTGTCTTCAAAAAATGCAGATAATGCAGACACTCTATCTGATGGACGAGTAGAAATCCAGATATCAGCTAAAATTGAGTTTTTTATAATCGAATTCATATTAATATTAGTTTTTTCACTATTTTACGCTTCACTACACAGCACAGAACACTACCGCGTGTGTCTACAGTAATAAACTTTACTATTTTTAAAGAATGTTTTGGCATTTAAGTAATGGAAAATACTGTGGTAACTGTAATCAGTGAAATTTTTTTTTTGCAAAAGTTTATTTTATAACCTTAAAAAAAACGATTTTCTTCGAAAAGCGCAATGAGTCTGCAGACTTTTTTTTTATTTCAAAGAAAAATGCCCCTTCTTTCAAATAAAAGAATAAAAAAAAACATACTTTTACATATTTTTTTTTTATCCCTTTGTAAACTTAGGAATTTTTTAAATTTTCTGCAACAAATTTTAGGGTGTAGCAAATAGGCCATTCCAGCCAGGAAACTCAATATTTTTAAAAAGCTCTATAGAGTGGTTTCCTTACAGATTTTCTAATTAGAAAAATTGTGTCTTAAGATAAAGTATGATAAATTGTACTTTTAGCAATTTTTTTTTTAAGACTCCAGCTAAAAGCATTTTCATAAAAGAAAAAATATATAAAAAACACACAACTTTAAGAGGTTTTTGTGAGAACCTTATGAGATAAAAACAAAAACTAAGTCCAGATCCTTAATCTAGGATAAATTTCCTTTCCAACGATACCAAACACGTTGACATACGTGACAACAATTTTTTTGATTTTTGCCCGCTCATACAGCACTCTGCGCTTATCCAAATGAAACAAGTTTGGTACCAAATGAAGGAAATGTCTAAATCAGAGGTGGGCACTCACACTATCACACACATGCGCTTGTGAGCGAAGCAGCGAAGTTTTGCTCTACAACCAGTGCTCGGACTTCACCAGATTTGTGTAATAGATAACACTTTACATTTCTACTACTTCTACCACCGTCAGCTAAAAAACTTTCAGATCTTGAAACTTATTTTCTTTAATTTGTTCATTTGCGCATTAATGAAAGGGCATTTTCTACAACAAAACACAACATTGCTGCTGCGACGACGATATGATCGTATTCGTGCGTCTTACGATAATTGACGATTGACTGATGCTTTGCTAGCACTTCGGCAAAGCAAATCAAATCAGTTGCCGCTGAGACTTCACTGCACAATAGGCCGGGTCGATTTGTGGGGAGGCAAAAAAATCGCCCATTGCTCTGTGAAAATCATATTCTAGGGATCAAAATAAGAAACTTTGCCGAAAACGAATTCTGATGTCCCCCAATTTGGGTCGAACTTTTGGGTAGGGGCAAATTTTGAAAAATCCCATTTTGACCCATTTAGAATGCTCCAATCGAGTCCAAATGTATGACCGACCCCCACTAACTTTGGAGGCCCGACCCACCGATGCCAGTGGCACACCCCCTGGAACCCCCCTTGGGGTTCACCATACAAGCATTTCAAAAAATCGCCGGTTTTGCACTTTACATGAAAAAATCAGCGAAATGCCTATGTTTTTTCTTTTTGGAGTTTATTTTTCTTTTTAGAAATTTATTTAGTCAGAACATATGTAAATGAAAAAATGAATTTAACTTAGTAATAGAAAAGAAATAAAAAAAAATTATTAGAAATTAGCGTTTTTACAACCCTTTTAAAACCAAGGCATCACTGTGATGCATTTGCATGTCGTAAACATAGTTGTGTGAGTTTTTTATTCAACCGTTTTAAAAAATGAAGGTATCACTGTGACACAATTGCAAATCGGAAAATTGCTTGTGTGCGTTTTTTAAGACACAGCTGCATGTCGTAAACTTACTTGTGTAGTTTTTTTATAGCACCTACTTAAGAAATGAAGGTTGTTTTTACAACCCTTTTTGTGGGTATTTTAAGGCACCTTCTTAAGAAATGCGCGTTTTTTGCAACCATTTTAACAATTAAGGTATCACTGGAATGCACCGCAACCCTTTTAAACAATGAAGGTATCACTGTGACACAATTGCAGATCGTAAAATTGCTTGTGTTGTTTTTTTTTTAAGCCACCACAAGACACAGCAGGTAGAATTGAGATTACCATTTCATTCTTATTACCTCGTCTCGTAGACCATATATAACGCAACAGTTTTTGTGAATGCATTAAGTCGTTGTGAAGAACTCAAAGTGTGAAGTGCTAATTTCAGATAAAAAAATATTTCAAAAAAAATAATAAGTGAAGTGACCATTCCAAATCAAAAAGTTTACAATGAATCCACCATCCTCTACACCGCAAGATGAAGCAACTACATCAACAACTATCGAAAACCCAATGAGTCATATACCCAAGCATGATGTTACTGTTTTTGGTGTGTCTACTGATTTAACTGATCTTAATTTACCAACCCATCTGGATATCTTGAGATATTATTTTTACTTAAGCGAACGTGCTAAAACAGAACAAAAAAAGTTTTCCCATAAATCATTCACTATTCAAGTACAAGATAAGTTGATTGGAATTTGGGAAAAACTTGGTATGGAAATAATGCTGAAAAAAAGTGTATTTAATAAATTGAATAAATTGCTTGACAAGTATCAAGAGCAAA